CTGGTGGGGAAGGCCCAGTCTGGTTCTCTCAGGACACTGAAGTTTGCAGTTGCTTTGTCCACAGCTCTACAATCCACATGACGATTAGGAATTTAGATGCCTAGGAGTGCAAAGCCTCAGGCACTGTCAGTGTCACCTCCCACGGGGCTGCATGAGCGTCCTCTCCACTGGCTCCCATGGAAAGAGTGAGTGGTGCAGGTGGCCCAGTATACTGTGGTCTGTAGGATGTGACCTCCATGCACGGTTATACCCACTGTGTTATGTTAGTCATAGCCTTTACTCTGCGAAGGTGTTTGCACACAGTGTCATCAGGACATGAACGACACAAGATAATGATCGTCAGGGGAAACATAGGCAGATTTCATCAATCTTAATCTTACAGTCTGATAAACTGTGATCCATGCACACATCTGTGAAATCAATTGCACTATGGACAAACAGAGCACTTTGATCACTCCAGGAAGTCTCCTCTGTCCTCTCACAGTCGATCAATCCATCCACAAGACAAATAATAGTGCACTTTATTTGAAAAACTTGCACTAGTCATATATGGCCAAGAAATCCAGAACTGTGGCTATAAATCAGATAAAGCTTTGGTATTCAGTATATTTTTTCACCATAGTTGTGATAATCACATTATTGATTGCAATAGCAATTTTTTGTTTTACTTTTAAATTATATTCCATTGTATAAATGTTCTAATGTTTACTCATAAATTCTCTTAATGACAATTTATGACAATCATAAAGAAGCTGCTATGAAATTTCTGTGCTAGCTTCTCTATTCATGTTCCATTTGTCTTCAGCACAAAACTAGAGGTGGAGATGCAGGTCATACAATGAGTATGTATTTATGAGAATCTTCTAATAACATTGCCATGTGTTTGTAGCATTTCACAGTCCCACCAACAATGTGTGAGAGTTCAGTTTTCTCTATCCTCACTGAGTTTTGTCTATAATTTTTCCAGGCTGAACCCTAGTGGCATGTGAGACTTTTATTGTTTAACATGACAGAGGCCAGAGACCAGTGGCATGGATTCTATTCAGTATTCCTAGTTTCTGTAGCATTTTACTTCGCAGGAGAAGGGATGTCCTTGAATTGAGATCCAGTTATCTTAACATTTATTAAAGAAACCTATTTACATATGAAATCTAAAAAACGTATAAAAATGTTACTTCATAGGAGCAGAGAGTAAAGCATCTGTTACCAGAATATGAGGTGCGGAGGAGAGTCGGAAAACATAGGTCAAGGGTGCAAACTTTGAATTAGAGGATAGACCTGTTCTAGAGAATCCATATCCAGCATGGGAGGTGATGGCTTTCTTAGTATGACTGTGGAAAACACCTCACTATGTGAACGCATCTTATCATCAAACCATCTTTTATATATTTCATATATACCATCATGGCCAAGTGAGTATTTTAAAATTTAAAAAAGGATAAGAAAATTGAAAAGGAATGTTGGGCTATGTATGATGTTTGCCATATGAAAATGTCTTTGTTCATAGTCTTGTTGATAAGATTGAATTTTACTCAATTTGTTGATATCCCACACAGTAGGGATCCCAGTACACTGATTTCATCATAAACATGGTCAACCAAATAAGCACATTTGACTTTACCAGTCGAGAGACAATGCTCAGTGGTGAAGGATAAAATTACTGTTACTCTGTTCTAAAGCATGGTGAAAATTTCATGGCAGTGATCTAATGAGGGAGGTATCCAACTCTTTTCGGAATCTCATGGTGAAAAAGGGAGAACAAAAAGTAGCTGCATTTCTCTAAACTAACAAGGAAGAAAGAAGTGTATTAAGGGGATGCTAGGCTGTAGGAATGAGCAGTAGAAAGGGGCAAAAACCAGAGTTTGTACTTAGTTGTCCACAGGGTGGCAAAGCAGCCTGGACCTGGGAGGGGAATGACCCAGCCCTGCTGTGCACCATTCTGCCTGGGATGTGGTGTGCTGCCCTGGCCCATGGGGACGAGCCCCATGGAAGCCCCTTCAAGTGTGTTCTAAAGAGGACCAAGTTCATCTGGTGGTGGCACTGTGGGGATGAAAAGGCGAGGATAATGTCCTAGAGAGGGAAGTCCAGTAAGAAAACACGGCCTCAAGTTCTGAGTGAACTTGGCTGTGAAAGTATGGAGTATAGTGAAGTGTTTCACCTCATAGAAAGAGATCAGTCCTTGCTCATATTGCAAAAAAATCCCCACTATCAAGGGAGGTGCTAAAACCTCAAAATGATAACGGGGGAGAGAAAGAGCCTGGTAATTATCATCAATCCTGCTAATGGTCCAAAAACCATTCTCAGGATGGATATCCTCAAACTGTGCGGCCCTGTTGACTGAATCTGAGCACAGTCCTATTGTCCACATATTATTCCCTCCTACTAACACCTCCCAGTAACGGCACCCACTGGAGAAGCTGTTCCAACCCAGCACAGCTTGGAGAAAGGTAAATCTTGCAGGCGTTTCAGGAACAGCTCGCTTTCTTGACCGACATTCAACACGCTTCCCATCATCTGACACCCAGAGCTGAGGGTGCGCAGTGTCTTCAGCCAGAACTATGTCTTCTGCAAAAAAGGAAGAGACACATTACCCAGAGGCCTTAAGAAAAGAGCTTTCAATTCTGTGAGTGCTGTCAAAAGAGGGGTGAGGACACAGCACAGGGGTCCAGGAGTCCTTCCCACAGCCCATAAACCCGCCCACCTACAGATGTGGAGATCTTTCCTCTCAGGGAAACTTCTCCAAAACCCTTCACCTCTGGACCTGATCTGTGCTGTCACCTCAGTTTCTGAGGACACGGTTGGTAGGAATGGGGGACATGGGGCCGACACCTGGGAAAGGTGTTACCAGTGTCTGATCCTCACGGTGCTTCCCAGGTTCCCACACAGGACACCGCGTCCACAGAGAGAGGAAAACTGCCACAGAGGGGGCAGGAGACCACGGGACAGCAGCACAGAGCAGCGTGGTCAGTGTGTTCAAGGGGAGGAACCCGGGCAGGGCAGGGAGGAGAGCGAGGGGAGGAGAGGAAGGATGGAGCTGGAGAGGAGAAGGGCCAGAGGGCGAGGACTGCTTGGGCCAGGGAGGCTGTGTTTAGGGTTGGACTCTTATTGGGCCATAATGGAGAACAGTGAGGTGGTGAACATTGGAGAGAATGAGGATTCCCAGCTACTTCTCCAAGCTTTTTATACAGAAAGAAAAGGTAGTATAACAGCAGATGGAGAAATTCAACCAATCCCAGTTATTATTGGTAACTGTTTTTGTTTTTGTTTTTGTTTTTGTTTTTGAAGGAGGAAAACGGTCACATGCACACATGGAGAGAGAACCTGACAGACCTAGAGGACGCCATGCTACAGGAGCCGGGAAGGAGGAAGAGAAAAGAAGCACTTTCCCATATTCATGAGTCTTTCGTGGCCCTGAGGTGCTCGGGTGCTGATGCCCCTGGGTCAGGGAAATGAAGCCCCCTGCTCCTGACTGGCCCAGACCCTGCCCTGGCACTGAGGTGAGCCCTGGCATCTGTGCTCTGCAAGGTGCTGTGTCCACAGCACAGGTTCTACCAGGAAGGGTGGGGTTTTGAGTGCTGGGGCTGGTAGGAAACCCTAGGTCACCGGCACAGCCTGTGCAAGAGAACTGGGCACCCTGCTCCCCTTTTCTTCTTGGCCACATGGTGCGTGATTCTGCTTGGCTCCCACCCTGACCAGTGGCCCCGACACAGGAGTAAAACCTGCAGTACCTACTGCCCATAACCAGCAACCCTCAGAACCCTGAGAGAAGGTAAATCTTTCCTTTGTACAAGTTGGTGTGGCAGGTATGTTTCAAAGGATAGCAGAGCATATGTCCCTTCTGTATTCACTGAAGGGTTTTTTCTCCCATATCCCACGTTCAGCCTGTTGGTTCTTACATAACCTCTGGTGCACATGTCCAGCATCCAGATGTCTTCCTGCTTCACAGGTGTCTTACAGATTATTGGGCCAAACCTTTTCTTTCACACTAGAATCCCACAGAGCTGAGGTGGCAAACATGAAGTCACTTTAGGTTGTTCCCTTTACAATTACCTGCAAATTGTCGAGCTTCCTTCAGACCTACAACCAGATGGAGACATGAAAGTCAGCTAAGTGATTAGGCAGGCAGCGCTGCTCTAGGGGGATAGGATGTGGGGGTCAATTGCGAGAATCAGGACTGTACTTACACTTCTTTATGAAAAGTTTTCTTCGTTCTGCAAACAATCACACAGAGAGATAAATATCTGGATGACACACAGACTGAGTATTCAATTTAGCACAGGAAAGAAAACAGAACTTACCAAGTTCTTCAGCAGTCCTGTCTTAAATAGAAAAGGCAAAGGAATATTAATTTTTGAAACCCCAAGAAAGTTGATCCTAGCCTTTTTCTCAGTATGGTTTATAAAATATTTGGGAATATTTCTTCAGCTTTCTGGAGTTTGAAGCTGAAGAACAGAAAGGGTCTTTACAAAAAGTTTTCTCCTTTCTGCAATCAATCGCACTGAGAGATAAATATTTTCATGACACGTAGACAAATTTTCAATTTAGCACAAGAAAGAAAACAGAACTTACCATGTTCTTTAGCGATTCTCTCTAAAAAAAAAAGGCAAAGGAATATTAATTTTTGAAACACCAAGAAAGTTGTCCTCGCCTTTGCCTGCATATAATCTGTAAAACCTTTGGGAACATTGCTTCAGCTTTCTGGAGTTTGAAGCAGGACAAAAAGGGCCAATTGTCTTCGACTTCCTTGTGGAACACCACTGAACTGAAGATTATCTCGCTACCATTAAGACAGTATCAGTTGAGGCCCACACCTATCACAAGCAGACTATTACTGCAAAGTTATTACTCCATTAGCTCAGTTTATATTGAGTTATTCCTGAGGTAGCTGCAAATGTTTCCTATCTGCTCAGCAAATTCGTACTGACATCCAGCTCTAGCCAGGGGCTGGCTGTGCACAGGGCCCTCACGATAAGCCAGGTGCTGTCTCTCCTCCCACAGGGCGACCTCTGCAGCCTGTCAGTACAGCCCAGTGCTGGGAGCAACATGGAATATAGAACAGGAAGGCCTCGGCACTCCTGGAGGGGGATTTTTATTTCTCTTTCACTACAAATATTGTTTCTTAGAAGGGAAATGTGTTTGTATACTTTTAAAAAATCAGAGAAAAGAAAAAATATTTCACTAGTTTCCTTTACCTTCATACAAGGTATAAGGTACCTTACACATACATCCAGAATATTCTTATTCCACAATGAAAACATCACCCATAAATGCTCCTGCTCTGTTTGTCATTTTCGCTTAAGCGGCAATTTCAAATACTTGCTCATAAAACTCAGAACACTTAAAGCATCACTGATTAGTTAAATGATATTTCTTTTAATTAGTAATGTACATGGAGCTAATCCTTTCTTGGCACTTATGTAGCAAAGTTTTCCCTTATTATGACAAAACAAAAAATTAACTTTTAAATTTTTCATCAGATGAAAACAGGGACATATAAAATTGCCCTTGTGAGTCAATATAAGTACAGGGTTAAATAGTCACTGAATATAAAAACCAAAGACAAAGCAGTATATTACAAAGGGAACGAAGCGCAGACCCATTTTCTTGGTCCCATGCCATGGCCGCGCAAGACCCTGCCCTATTATAAACACGGCTGATGCACAAGAGATCATTACTGGAGCAGGATCAGTAGAAGACCGGATCTTGGATCTCCTGTCAGGGAACGGACAGTGTCTGCAGATGACCAAGCTGAAACAGAGCTACATCCTCTGCCCTTCGCCCACGCTCCCTCTCCTGCTCCACCTTAGATTTCCCCCAGGCCCTGACTCCAGCCTCACCAGAGAGCTAAGATGTTTTCTCTCCATGCCGCACCCCGATCAGCTCCCTTACGGTTTTGAGCCTCCTACAATCACTGCTCTCAGTGACTCTAAGTCACAAGTCTGTGGACTCCGTGGTGCAGTCACGTTATAGCCCAGGCCATGTGATCATAGTGCTGCCCTCTGTGCACCCAGAACCCTGCAGTGCTCTGCACCACTTAGAAGACAAATAAGACCCTGAATGTGGCCGCCGCGATCCTCACAGTCTGCCCTGTCTGCTTCTCCACTCTCTCTCCCTCTCTCTCCTGCTAGTTCTTCCCCATCTTTCACGTTTAATATTTACTACTTTCCAGTATCAGACAGAGGAGAAAGCACTACTTCAACTTACCTATGTCACCATTATAAAGTACACTTTCTCTTATATGGGATTCCTTTGATATATTAAAATAAACTTATGAGATTATGAAACAACTTTTCCTTATGAGAAATTGTTTCATATGACTTCTTAATTGAAAAGTAGTTACATGAGTTCCTTCTCATAGCTGGGGTTTGATGAATTTGTATGATGAATTCCAAATATCCTTTTCTTAAAAGTAGTACTAATTCAGTTCTAGGAAATGGATGTTAGCAGAAGTATTGGAAATGTTAACATTCCATTATTGAGGACTTTATATTGGGATTAATGTGGTCAAGATAAATTCAGTCTGGATGGATTTGTGTTGGGGAGGTTGATTTAGACTGTTTATATTTAATCAATTGCTTGTCTATGGGAAAAGATTTATTCAGATGCAAAACCTGAAACTGAGTGGGATTTAAAAGTTTGACAAGAAAGGCAGTGTAACAAGCATCATGATACTTGCAGCCAGGTCAACAGTCACAATTTTTCC